ATGATCTTTTTTAATTTATGCCTAAATTTTGAGTCAGCCAGTAAATAGTTAGTGTAAACCAGGAATATTTATCTGGAAAAGTAATAAGACCTGAAAGAGTATAGTAGTGTTACAATGTTTGCAATTTTTTCCAATATTTGTAGTCAGTTATTGCATTGGAAATGGCTTAGAACCGATCGCAATGGGGTAGATATATTCACTCCTTATCGACCCCTCCTAGTTGTTGAATTGTAAAATCATCCCATACGTTTTACGTCTCTAATCACATTGTATATGTCTATTTTCTTATATTGAGATAGTGGCGAAGATTTGTAGCTCGGGTGGATGATTTTGATGGAGTTTTGTTCTCTGAGCTGGATGGTTTGGTCGTGGGGCTTTCATTGTTCTTCTGAACAACGTCATCAGTACAAACTTCAGATAGAAGCTTCACAACAAAACCATCCAGCTCAGAGAACAAAACTCCATCAAAATCTCTTATATTGCCATTGTTACTGTTATTTATTTTACTGCTCTGGTATTTGTGAAGATATTTTCATTTCATTGTACTAATATGATATAGCACCTCGGACTGATGATGAAAATGTGTTCCAGATTCTACGTTCCACATGAATGAATGAATGAATGAGTATTCTATTTGTATATTGAAGAAACTTCGTTGCATTAACTTAGTCGTCTGAGTGTAAACAAGTTTAATCCTGGATACTTCGTAAGAGTATAAACACTTTTATGAACAATCTTATTTTTTTTAATTCCATGAGATCTGAGTACTATGTATGTTGGTATTGTATTGGCTTAGCTTTGTTAATCAATCGCCTTGATAACCGTAATTATATAAATCCCAACGGTGTTTGAAATCAGAAGGCAATAAAAAAGTGGAGACTACAGTTTATTAGCAGATAGCACGGATCACAAACCTACGAGCACACCCAGTGAGTTTGAAGTAAAAGCTATTAGTAGGATTTGGGTACATATATACGTGGGGAAGTAAATGATTGACTGGGTGATGTTTAATTTATCAACACTTAAGCTAGAGAGAGATATTTGCATAAGCTTTTATGTGATCAAGCGTACATGTTTATACAGACATGGCAGTGATCAGAATAGTACAAAGAAATATGTGAATTGTTACTGTTTGAATAACGTTGTCTGTTAAATAAGTTAATAGAAAGTGCTTAACCAAAATTAATCATAATCGAAATTGATTGTAGGCTATCTGCTACGGTATTTTCTTTAAACAAATCTGTATATATAACAAATGATAAATGGTAATAATTTTTGAATTAAGTTGACAAAAATGACAAATAAGTGTTGATTTCTAGATCCTTTTTATTATGGTGATGGATTTACATAGTTTGATTTGTAGTTTAATTGAAGCTGACAGTACATTAAATGAATACATTACATAAATGGATTGAGGTTGTCCGTAACATTCAATTTTTTTTCTCAAGTTTGTTGTATCCAGGACTTTTAATCTTGTTTTTCATTCGTTTATTGTGTGAATACTATATACTGGAGAGTAATTTTTATTAGAGATTTCATTATAAAACACACTTGAACTTTTCTGAAACTGTCCGTTATGAACATGTCAGTGTAACGAAACTCAACATTGATCAGACAGAAATTCACAAATACAATAAAATTCAAAGCTTAAAATAAAACCTCTAATGAGAATTACGCTCCAATATACTGTACTCATTCATTATGTAAGATGAAATAGTGACTGAAAATGCTAAATATAACAACCATATTAAACATTTAAAAAACGTTATGGACATTTACCACCTATGTATGTCACACAGTAAACACAATATCACTAATTGTCTCAATACAATAAGAACCAATTATAGAAAAATACTACTAGGACAATTTTATCATTGTATACTTAATGACCTTAATCTTTTAGTTTCTTGGAACAAAAAAAAATACTTTAGAAAGTGATCAATTTTTTCCATTAATCAATAATGTTGAAGGTATTGTGTAAATACTATACACTAGTATAACTTCATGTGATTAATCGATTATATGTGTATACATCTTAATTCAATGAATTTGTATTGACAAACTAATATTGAAACACTTGGAAATGAGTAAAAAGAAACAAAACCAAAAAAGAAATTATTAAAACAAACGAATTCCTTCATTTAAGTAGTTAGTGATAGCTAAAGTGATTTTTTTTATTCCTTATTATAGATTGTCATTCATTACAAACACTATTTTACACGTCATCATGTTACTTATTATAATAAGTAACGACATATATTGATAACCATTTGTGCGTAAACTATGAGTTATTTATTTATCACTATGTAGAAAAGTAAACTATTATTTCTACGTAATATAATGATTGGTATACGTAGCAGACTACGTTGAAATTGTATTATGTTGGATGTTGTTGTATGTAAATTATCCCTTAAGTCTTATAACATCTTATATCTGTCAAAATGACAATCAAGTTGAAATAAGATCCATCTAATGTTTATGGAATCATACTTTACAAAATCTCAATTCTATTGTAATATATACATGGATTGGTGTTGATTAAAACAATGGAGAAAGCGTTATCATGATTAAACTATCAGAGTACAGTTCAACATAACGTTATCAAAAGTTGATGTATTTGGATTCATGGAAACAAAAAAGAAAATTTTTAATCATTTCTTGAGGATGTTCACTGTGTAATTTACGAAATAGATTGACAGTAGCTAAGGAAAAAATAAGATTGAAATCAGGAGATAACTGTTTTTATTCTTAGTACTAAATATTACAGCCTATACCTATGATATCACTACTAGGGGTGAAACTTAAGACTTCTAAGTTTTTGTCAGTCGCATTTATGAACATAATTACAACTTGACTAGAGTTGAATGATAACTTATTGATATTAGAAACAAAGTGCTCTCCACGAGACCTGAAAATACTGAATTTAATCTGTGATTAAACTCATGAAGTGACTCATATTAGTACAAAACAGATTCTCATTGCTCGTTGGTTTTTAATGGTTGTTTAGTTACGGTCAGTCATCTTGAGGCTTACACATAAATATATATTTCTAGTAATTTCACTGACTTTTAAACAAAAACTACTTCCTAACCTCGCTAAAGAAAAAGTTTAAGTTTTCGAAATAGTATTTATGGATGGGGTTGACAATAATGGTTTTAGTGGTTTAGAGGTTAGCCGAACGTAATGAGACTCAAAGGTCCTGGGTTCGGTCATCAGTGAGATTGGGAATGAGTACTGCTGACAGGTCTCATAATTTAAAAGAAGACAAAGAGTGTATACACTCACGCCATTGTGATCGATTCTGAGCCAAGTCACTCGGAGTCTTCAACCATTGATTACGATAGTCACGCGGATTCCAACCAAGTAGTCTGCATCTAACAACATGACTAAGACTATAAGTTATTGATTTCAAGCACTACTAACACGTTCTGGTTTGGCCGCTCTTAACTTTCTTCCGACCATCCCCAACACTAGTCAGTATTACGCGTCGCGGTAATCGGTGTTCAGGCATACGTAACACGTGGCCCAACCATCTTAGTCGATGAGACAGATGTGTGGTGTTTCCAACGAATAAATCTACGTCGATAATTAGCAAAGAGTAACAAACAAAGAATCCTTAGTGTGATATTTAGTTAAATCAAACCAGTATACAAGAGAAAAATTCAAGAATGATTTCAAGTCATATAGCTCACTAATTTCTTAATTCTTAATCTTAAACTTGGTAAATTTAATTCTCACATAAATCTAAAGATTTCATGGACAAACTCATATAATACTTGAAACTGGTTATTCTAAAAAAACAACTCCTTACATAAGATAACACCATTTGACCATCTCAAGTTTATTATGTCATCAACTTCTCCCATCAATTAATCATATTCAAGGCATTAATTAAATTAGACAGCTTATTGTCGTACATTAAATGTACGTTTATATTAAATTCCATAATCCTGTGACTTGACATAAGTAATTAGAGGATATAAGGTGAAACAGTCAGTCAGTCAGTTACAACGTAGGACCAGACACATATATGCATCGATCCAAGTTGTCACACCTCATTAGCACAGCAAGATGAACACCAGATTCATAGAAGCAGTTAACTCAATGGTGTAATATATAAAGGAAAGATTTTATGAAAGGATATAGTACAGAAAGAAAGAATTAGTGCATAAAAAGAAGGATATGAAGCGATTTTAATCTCTCAGTTTAAAGGAAGACAGAGAGTATATACACCGACACCATTGTGATCGATTCTGAGCCATTTCACCCAATAAGGTGAAACATTCATAGGCAATAAAAAAATTTCCCATTTGTTTATCAGTTTAACTTTCATCCGACTATAATCAACGAATGCAGTTATTTTCATGTAATTGCAATGAAAATCAGTTGATATTTGCAATTGACGAAAAACAATGGAATATCAAGTATTAAAAAAATAAGGTCTATGCTGTCATCTGATTCAAATGAACTTAATTTTCTGATTAGTTAATCAGTACTATGCTAACCCATCTAAAATGTTTAACACGAGAACTAGTTTATAATTTTTGATTTCATCAAAAAATCTTGTATCAATAAAGTGTAAGTTTTGCAGTTAACTTATGAAAAGCCTTTAAATATTCATCCTAGCAACAATGATAAATTCATTTTCTGCTCCCCTCTCTCATACTCGAACATTGAGAAACGATCATAATAAATCTATTTATGTCTAATGAGAAATTAGATTTAACGAATCATTTTTAACTTCTATATATACTACTGATGATATTGGAGGGGGCTAACTGCCTACTCTAACGTATTCATTGAAGAAATCTTACAATATCGTTGCAAGTACTTTATGAGGTAAATAAACGGGATAGATAATATCATATTTGACTTATGAGAATATCTTCGAAGTATGTTCTTTTAACAGCGAAACTCTTGATTCAAATGTCAGTCCATTTATACATACAAACATAAATATTTTTAACAAATTAAGTGACTAGTTCCAATAGTATACTTACTGAATAAGTTGTATCCAATTGTAATTGTTCATCACTAATAATCATCCAAGCTGGATAATGAATAGCTCTTTTGACAGTAATATTCTCACCACTTTGATGATGACTATTAGTGGCAGTAATAGTACTTGTTGAAAGTTTCGGTGTTAAATTACTCGAGGCAAATCCTTCACTTACATTATAACGCTGCATAGAATGAATATTATTATACAAGGATGTTTGATTTATCACAGTTTTAAGTATTAAAGGCATTGATTCATAGAATTCAGTTTGATTGAATTGATTCATCCCACTGTCAAATGTTGATGAGTTTGTGATTTCTGAAATAGATGGTTTCTTTTGCGAACCCGTAAACGATGTTGTTGATTGAGGTGACGACAACGAAGTATTCGATAGACAACTAACACGAGAGGATGATAAACGGCTACAATGTTGATTGACATCATTTAGCAATATTTCTGGTTCATTAATTTGATCACTTGTCTTACGTTTAGGTGGCCATAAACTAACTGAAGATAAATTTATCATTGATTTAGAAAGAGGTTTATTTGTTTTATTTAACTGGTCAACATTTACTTCTTCTGAATTGTCCGAATTTACAAATGCATTCTCTTCATCACCAACATAAGCTCCAATACCTAAGTTGCCAAGAAAAGATTGCATTTCTTGTGGAGGTGAATTAGAATTATCAGGATAATAATGATGATGATGATACTGATGAGGATGATGATTCTGACTGGTTTGTTGATTATAAGAATGATTATTCTCTGTTCTTAATCCATCCAATGTTATTGCAGTTGTAGCACTAATACTAGTCATTTTTAATAAACGTAACCATCTTCGAACTTTTTTACCGGGATTTACATTTTCATCTTTTGATTCAATTTTAGTTGGTTCTCTAGCACTTTGAATAATATCACCTGTACTTTGATTTCTTCTAGCTTTCTTTTTTACATCACTTCTTTGTTGAGCACCTCTACCACGAAATATTCTTGGTCGTTTAGATATACTTATATCTTCAGATAAATTTGACATATTTTTTTTACATACAACAATGATGATAAATGATTGAATTTATTTACAAAAAAAAAGTAGTAATCACTGTGTTTCTATCATTTAATCTTTGATTAGAATTGTATAAATGAACAAATCTCCATGGAAATTGAACAAATCAACATTTTTGATTCCATTTAACATTTGTTTATCTGACTGATTTTTATATAGAAACAAAACAAATATGATTTTGATGAGTTTAATTTGAACTTTAATCAAGAATGTCTTATTCAAATTGTAAGCATTCTTCTCTTTTTTTCTTCCTTTAATATGTACTCTTTCAAATATATTGTAACTTACCATAAGCAATTTATACCATATATACATAGTACATATTGTATATACAATCAGATAACATGTATATACATATATGTACATACATTTGTGCTTGTTTATATATATATATATCTACCTATCCTAACATAGAATATGATATTGTTTGTACAAAGTGTAACTAAGTAAGTAAGTAAATAATGTTCGATTGAAAAATCACACACACAAATCAATAAAATCAGTCATATAACACCTACGCATAAAATTTTGAGAAGTTGGTCAGGACAGTAGTTAGTGTTCTTTGTTGTTTTTATTGTTTGTTTGTTTGCTCTTGAGAGACAAAAAATAATATTCCACTGATGAGGTAATTTCAATACAGTTTCTAGTAAAACATTTCAAATAAAATATGTTGGATTGAAAGAAGTAACTATTTGATTTATGATCAATATTCAATGTATAATAAAGTAAACTATACTTCTTGAATATATAAAAAGGATTTGTTTATTCTGATGAATAGTTCCAGATAATAGATCTAAATAGCAGCTTCATTTTCTGTTCTGTTATCATTGAAAGATTTAAAAGAAATTAAATGAGTTATACTTTATTATGGATAGTATATTATCGATGATCAGTGATATGATTGGTTAATTATTGACTAATCAGATTTTGATTACAAATAGATGTATTGACAGAATTAATTTTCTTCATGGGAGTCATGGTAACCCGAATGTAAATAATGACGAAATTTTCATAATATAAGAATTAATGTTCTCCAATTTTGAAACTAATAAACATATTTATACATAGATTACTAGAATGAATATAGATATTAGCTATTGAAGACTTCTTTGGATAAATGACTGGGAATATTCATTTAGTTAAAGAGTGAAATGGTCGTATTGTAGTGAATGAATATTCAGGTAGGGACAACCAATTTATTATTGTAGAAAAATTTATAGAACATTTTGTTAACATATGAGAATCATAGATTAAATATTTCATTTGCAAAACTTCTATGAATTGTCCTTTACATTCTGTATGATTCTTCCATTTCATAATACCTTTCTATTTCCATTTATGTTTTCTTTAAGTCGACCTTCATAGCTTTTTGCTGCCGTGCATTCCTCTTTTGATTGGTGTTACATACTATTTATGTCTACCGACATAAGTAGCATACACAACAGTATAACCTAGTCAAAAAATTGACTTACAAATGAAGTAATATCTCCCAGTTGTTAAGCGTTAATTAAATCAAACTTACTTGAAGGAGATTGAAAGCGACAACACTTGGTGTTTTTTGTCTGGGAGTTAAATACTAACCACGCCCAATCTTGCAGAGATTTAATGAAGTGATAATCAGAAGCCCCAGAACCAACGTATATTAAAATCTTATTTGCTTATGTAAAATTTAAAGATATGGTGAGTTTGATTTAAAGATTCTTTGAGCATAAGGAAACTGAGATTATTTAACAAACAGTTAGGATACAGTGAATTATACGATTAAAACAAGAGTTTCATACAGCTAGACTATAACATATCAGGTTTCATCATTATCTAGATTATTTTAATAAAGTCAAAGGGAACATTTAATAGGATAAGTTGAGTCTAGATCTATTTACACGTATCGTCCAACCATGGCTGATTCCTCATCAATTCTATCCACAGAACATAATCTGTGTACACGGTTGAATAGTATTCTAACCCGAAATCTTTTTTAGTTTGTTAGACAAATGCTAAACACGTTCACGTATAGCCTTCTCCACGTATCATCTGTACGTATATATGCTGAAGTGTAGAAACGCTTTAAAATAATCAATAAATTAAGAAATTGAAAATTGTTACACTTCACCAAACCAAATTCATTTATTCAAAAAAAAAACACATTTTTTACTACCCTAGTGACCTAATTTATGTGAGACTATAACAGAAGACTTTTCTCTGTAAAATTTAATCAAAAACTCTTTGATCTCTTCAATTCTTTATTTCTGAAGTCCACTAAATTAATCGATATCACATAATATATCTTCGATCGAAGAAAACTATTTCTTTATCATACCCTTCTAGAATATTTGTTTATTTAATGTATAAATAAGTAAGCATTTGAACAATGTTAATTCTCCTATATGTATTTTCTCTTACTATCATTCTATTTTCACATATTCACTCCATTTATTCAAGACAATGGTTGTATAAATAATGTATACTCATTCTGTTTCTAACAATTTATACAATGGTTGTAAGCAATTGAAGAGAATTCATGAAGTAAAATGAAGTCATGTTATTCTGCTACAATATTTATTCCTTCTTTAATTAGTCCTATAAATGGAAAGAATCGTATTAGTATTATTTGTTTATTTAGTGAACTTCCTGACATGCATTATGATATATCAATAGGATTGGAAAATATTTTAATCTTCTCATTGATGGTTACGACTGCAATTGATCAGTATCTTATTGACATTTGTATATCGTGATCGGATTGTCTCGATATTGCATTACATCATAAGCATTATAAGCAGGGATGGATGATGGCTAGCAGTGGAATCCAAGACATGCGTTTCGTCCTATTTGGCACATCCAGTCGACCAGTCCTAAAAAGAACGAAATGTGCATCCTGGATTCTACAGCTAGCCACCATCCATCTCTGATTATTATAAATGATATTTTGTAGATTAAAATTTTTGGTAACTGTTTTAAAGTATAAGCATTTTAAAAGGTAAACAGTTAACTTTTACAGCGTGAAATGATAACAGAAATACTAAATAGGAAAAAGATGATAAATGAATCAGGGACTTGATGATAAACTGGAATAAAGGTGTTAGAGACTCTCTGGAGGATCATATTTATTAATACCGTATTAATAATTATTAACTTCTTGAAGTAACAGAAAATGAAAATAAATTAGGTTTACATTATCTATTTTACTGAGACACTGACAAACTAATAACCACCGCAATGAGATTTATTCTCTTGTAGATAAAATTATTGTGTCGTTCAGGACAGCTCTCAACAACAAGTTGCAAGCTTTACAGGATCTAATGAAAGAACAATAAACTTCAAACTGCAAGTATGCTTCACGTTCTGTCCAGGAAGATTTGAGAGGAAGAACAAGTGCCGATGGACTGGAAAGAAGGACAACTTATCAAGATACCAAAAAAGGAAATCTCAGAAAATTGTGAGAACTACAGAGGCATCACACTACTTTCAGTACCAGGAAGCAGTGACCAGTGGAGTTCAACCGGGTCTGTTGTAAGGTAGTAACTCAATGAAGATAATGGTGAACGGTGGTGCAGTTTTATGGATTGTTTGAAGTTAGACAGTAGTCTAGAGGTTAACTGTTCTCGCACGAGATTGATAGGTTCTGAGTTCGGATCTCGCGGGGTGGAATTGTGGATGAGCACTACTGATAAGTCCCATACTAAGATGAAATGGCCGTCTAGTGCTTCCAGGTTTTCCATGGTGGTCTAGTTTCAATTGACTCATAAATTCAATTATTAATTTTTTTACAATCTCCTTAAAACCCCTCTCTGAATATAAGAAACACTTTATTTCTTGTTTATATGTACATAAGTTAGCTGAATTGTCTTTATTTATTATCGAAATACTGTAATGATTAAAGGTAGTTTAGATTATTATTCGATAGTAAATTTTAAACAATTCCGTTGAATTTTTTTTGTGTTCAAAGTCACATTCTTTTTTTGGAAAATATTATCAGTTTACATTAAGTTTAATCTGGTTATTGTTCTAATCATGATTTTTGTTCCTTGACTTTTAAATATTAATAATGGTGCTGTTGTCCTCTCTCTCTCTCTCTCTCTCTCTCTCTCTATATATATATATATATATATATATATATATATATATATATATATATATATGAATAGATAGATAGATAGATAGATAGGTTGGTAGGTAGGTCGATACTATAGCACTGATGTTAGTTATAGTATTCACATGGTAGCAATAATCATATGAAGTCAGAATTTGAATTTGAAACCTTCATCCAACCCGCATGAAACAATAAAAAAATATTGAAAAATGAACCATTTGATAGATAATAAACGGTAATCATATTCTTAGTTAAAAGAGACCTGAAATTTAGTATCACATATTTGGCCTTAAAGGTATATGTATATATGCAAATTAAAAAGAGTATAGACGTAATCAATTGAAGCCTTTTCAAGTTTCAATCGATCTTAGAAAGAGTAAGATTTTCTTCTGGTTAATGAATAAAATATTATCTAATTATGCGTGATTTACGGTAAATAATTCGTATATGCAGTAGTTAGTTGGAAATTTTATTAAACAGCTGAAACCTAGTTCAATATGAAGTAAACACTTTTTTCATTATATGATGTGTACTTACTTACTTACGCCTGTTACTCACAATGGAGCATAGGCCGCCGACCAGAATTCTCCAATACACTCTGTCCTTGGCCTTCTTTTCTACTTCTATCCAATTGTTTTTCATTCTTCTCATGCCTGTCTCCATTTCTCGGCATAATGTGTTTTTTGATCTTCCTCTTCTCACTGATTCCAAGTACCTCTAGGCTGTATCTTTTCATTTCTGCAGGAATTTGGATGATGAATAACTATTTAATTTAGACAATATAAAGATTAGATTGGATTGGATAGTTGATATGACTATAATAAAATTATTTCATGACTCTACTATGAAAGTAAGATGACAATGACTGATAACAATCGCAGATCTTATTCACCTACCGAAAACACGTCAACTCTAATTATTCAAAATATACTCAACGAACATCAGTGATAAAGTTTGATCAGTGTGACTTAATTGATAACAGACCAATGAAACTTATGTACTAATTTCGTGAGCAAATATGAACAACAAAGAAGTATGGTAATCGGTAGAACAGTAAGAATGGCCTATGCTTGATCCCAAAAAGTGTCAGGTCAGTAAGAGTCTAGGCTTTTAGCAGTGTTATTGCTAAACATCTCTATGATACAGGGTATCAATTTGATACACTGAAATCTTTCAGCAT